GCTGAGGAAACGTCGACGAAAAAATGACGATGTCGTCCAAGTAGGAGAGGCAGGTTTTCCATTTGAGGCCGCGAAGCACGGTATCAATCATGCGCTCCAAATGTAGCGGGCGTATTGTACAGCCCGAAAGGCATAACGTTGATTTCGTATAGCCCGTCGAGGGTTGCGAATACCGTTTTCTCTTTATTGTCTTCGTGCATATGAGTTCGCCAGTATCCGGAACACAGGTTGAGGCAGGAAAAGTATTTTACGCCTTGTAGAGCAGCAAGGGCGTCGTCAATGCGAGGCATTTGGTACAGATCATTGGGAGTGATTTTGTTGAGCGCCATGTAATCGACGCAAAAGTGCACGGAGCCATCCTTCTTAAGAACCAGAACCAAAGGCGACGACCAATGGATAGATGAGGGGCGAACTACCTCTCGTTTAAGCATGTCAGCTACGTTTTCTTCAATAATTTTTCTCTCAGCAGGAGACGCGCGGTAGGGCCGGCGGCGTACAACAGATGTTCCGACTATGTGGATTCGATGCATTGTAGTTGTAGTGCGGCCCAGCGTCGAGGAATAAACATCGAAGGAACTTGCGTGTTTCTTTAAGAAAGCAAGTAGCTGTTGCGTCTGTGAAGGTGTCAAGTCGTCGCTAATGGCTGCACTATATGCGGAAGAAGCAGGCTCACCACTTGGGCTGTTGTTGGAGGAGACGGCATGAAGTGGCACAATGCACGCAGGCTCGGGATCTGTCACGCAGGCCATCGTGGTGTTCTGAGGAAGTACAATTTTTTCGGGTGTTGTATTCACGGCGGTGACAAGTGCGGAATCATTGAGAAACCAAACTACACCGGAAGCGAGAATGATGCCTTTACCGACACAAATGATGGTGAGACCAATACGTCACCATGGTTGATGTCTTTTCGAGGTAATAGTTACAATGTGCTCTTGACCTGGCGGTAATTCGGTATCTTCCGCAGCTGTCGAACGAAGTGGCCTCTGGGGGTCGTCGTTGAGCGTGCAGTCCGTGTCGGTGAGGTGGACGACGCGTTGACCACAGCAAATAGCCGCGGAAGCAGAAGAAAGGAAATCCCACCCTAAAATTATTTGGTGAGAGCAGTCAGTCAGGACGACGAACTGAATGTGGTGTCGGATACTATCAATAAAAACACGGGCTGTACAGAAAGCGGAAGGGCGAATTGTATACCCCTGGGCAGCAACCAACGTGGGTTAATCATATATATATATATATATATATATATATATATATATATATATATATATTATATATATATATATATATATATATAGAGAGAGAGAGAGAGAGAGAGAGAGAGAGAGAGAGAGAATAAAAACGGAGCTCTGTCTCTAGGACAAAGCCACCTTTTTGTTTGCACAATATTAAGCGATCTTCAAGCGGCAAGAGCAGTGACTTTGGTATTTTAAAATAATGATTTATTGTTGCAAAAGATAATGATTTTATTTTTATTGTCCCATTCATATAGGCACCTTATACGGCCTCCATACTTGGACGATGCTTATTGTTCTTACGCGCGAAACTCACCTCGACCACAATACAATGCACCCATGCTGCAAGCAAAGGTCTCTAGCGGGTCTGTTACAACAATGTGATCATTTTCTTTTCCCGAACAATCGAACAGCACGTTTTCTGAAAAAGATGGTGCAAACCTGCGAAAACGATATTTATCGTTACCGAAGTTCACACATGTCACGTCGTGGCCATAAAGAGCAGATAATACTGCTATTCGCTGCGGTTGCCTTTGTTGTATTTGAAACGACCTCCGCGTGGCGTAAGTAGCCCGCATAGTTCCGATACTTACTTAACAGAGCAAGAAGTGCGTGTTTACAGAGGGGTTCACAGTTAAAGGGAAAACTTTTGTGTGCAGCATGTCTGGATTTCACTATGTGGCAAAAGTATACAGCTCAGATTTGCATGAGACTACTGCTGGCTGACTGTTGTAAACTGGTGTCGAGCGTGAAAGATTTTCATACGTTTGCTTGTAGTCATGAGACCCGCAACATGATAGGTTCTCATCAGATTGTCCCCTTTAAAGTGGGTGGTACTATACATTGCTCTACCAACTTTTTCTGTAGTGCAACACATGAATCATGTAATATAACTGTAACTCAATAAGCGGTGCATGTCTCTCATAATCATATCGTGGTTTTAGGACGTAAAACAGATAGTATTATTGTTATCAATTACTGACGTCTTCAAGGGATCACTCCAGCCCAGTGTCTTCACTCGTTTAATAAGCACTATGCACCTATGGGAACTTTTTAAGCGAAGGCTCTATGAGTTACATATTTCCATGGCCGAATCCGTCCACAACGCAGCCGCCACTACATTGTGTGCGCGTCTACTCGAATTGGCTCTCGCAGATGAGCCGGTCACATGTGCACTTTTGCGGGATATGTTAACACGTTAGACACGTGCAATTCAAGAAGTCACAATAACTTCAAAATCGTCAAACACGTATTATATTACTTTGTTACTTCAGCTGTGACAGTCTTGGTCAAGATGCAATGATATTTTATTGTTTTTTTACTGAGTAAATTCGAGGAATGTTTTTTTTTGTTGAGTCCAACTCGTCCAACTGCACGAACCCTTTGGTGCACCGTAAGTGTTATCGTGGTATAAGCCACGACCCCACCCCTTTAGATCATTGGCCAACAACTTTGCGCAATGTTGAACGTAGGTTTCTTTTAAATAACACGCTCTCTTTTTTTGAGATGTACAAACAATCATTGAGATTTTTCTCTTTGTTCAACATAACGAACCGCGAATATTCCCATTAACCTCCCGTACTTCATTCTTGTTTTTTTTTTTGTGCAGCACACGCTTATGGTTGTGGGCCGAACCAGGAAGCAAGGTGTAGTGGCAAAAGGAATACCCACGAAGCTTACTGCGGCAGTGACGGTATGAATGCCAATCAACACAGGCCGTCACAATGCCGTCCTCGTTCAGGTGTAATATGCGTCTGCACCATCGGCTTCTACAGACAAAAACCTGGTGGTTGTCACCCGTGCGTCCGCATCGACATGTGCAATTAGCGCAGTCCACCTGTAACAAAATCCTGCCCCCATGATCTTATCGCAACTTTGGTTATTTGGTCTTCGTAACATCCCTTGGATGTCGTAAGGTGGTAATTGCGCGCTGCTTCGCAACGACCAAGCTGTCGCAATTTTATCGTACCAACAAACAGCAGTGGAATAAATATGCCAACTACTTTTCGAACATTTTGCTATTTTTTAGTGTTGTAGTCATTATGATAAGCGCCTTCACACCATTTAGTATCTTCTCTGCGCTGTTGTTCCTATCTAGACACTGAAATACGGTGGAGGCTTTTTTTTAATACCGCCTACTCCTGCCCATTTATTTTAGGAGGAAAATTCCTTAGGCCGTGGGTCATGGAGAAAGAAGTATTTGCTCCGTACCGTGGGTCATTCTCACCTCTGTAGTAGTAATAGTAGTAGTAGCAGTAGTAGTAGTAGTATGTCGCCACCACTAGTTTATGAGTTGGCCAATAGATGTTGTTGTCTGTATATGTCCTTGGTTATAATGTAACTAGATGAAGTTAGTGGTTTTCGATACAGTACGGAGCTAATGATGATGAGTGGGTGAAGCGTCCATCTGTCCGTCCATGCGTCTGTTCGATCACCCGTCCATCAATACATTCGTCCGTCTGTGTGTTTCCATGGGTACGTCCGTTCGTCTGTCCGCCGTCCTTGCTTCCGCCCATGCTTCCGTGCTTATGTTAGTCCATCCGTCAATGTCCGTGCTTCCGTCCATCCATCCGTCCGTCCGTGGGTCCATTCACCCATCCATGCTTTCATCAGACAATTCGTCCATGAGAACGTGCGTCCGTCTGTCCGGCTACGACGCACGTACGGGCGTATGGACCGACGAATGGAAGCACGGACAGACAGACGGACGCTTCACCCCACTCATCATCATTCCCTGCGTAGATATGCTGTGACTTTTTTCTCTTCCTCATATAATTAGGTTGTTATCGACATCATCTGCATCTCGATTGGTTCTCTTTTTAATAACTTGCTCGCTGTACAATTGTTACGTATGTACAATACGTCCGTACAGTTGTTGCGAATTAAGGACCATTGTGTGGATAGAAAAAGTGTTTAAAAATTTAGAGTATTTGGTACTCTACTAAGCGAGAGCAAAAAGCCGGCCCGTGGGCCTCACAAATTGACCCCAATAACACGAAGTCATGCCAAGTCATGTATCACAATGGCACGAAGCCCATTTTTTAGAGCAATGCAACAAACAATAGTTGGCAATAAATAATAATGAAATACATGAATGATTATTTATCTTGTTTGTATTGGAATGTTTATATATCGCTTGTAAACCCTCTTTCAACTAGACGTTATCCCAACCTTTGTACTCACACCCACGTTCTTGACTGTAGTTATTTCCCCCAAGGGTTGTTGAAAGCTCGAACAATTTACGCGGTTCTGTTCGTAGATTGGCTCAGTCAAATTTCATATAAGCACTGTTATGAAAATACTACCAATATGGTTGTAGTTTTTTACGTTATCCTTGATAACTATTTGTTTTTTATAACAAGTAATATTCTCCATTTCTGCAATAAACCTGCAAAGGGCTGCAGTGTTGGAAAGATCGTGATTAGTCCACGGGTCAGAGCAGGTCATTGTGTTTCTGTGTGGGGCGTCTTGCGCGTTAGTGTTACTTTTAGTTCAGAAATATGTACCGATCGACTTCGCCCAATTGCCCAAATGATCGTCTTGTGATCTGCATCCCTCGGCAGGACAACCACGCTGAGCAGGGTAGCCACGTTCTCTAAGTGCCACCTTTGGCTACACCTCTGCCCCACAATTAATACCTAGATTTAAATACAGCAACACAGACATACATATACTAAAATACATTTCAACCAATAATTACGACTATCAATCTCCCCTCAATTTTGCCTTGCGAATCTTTTCCCTGGCGGCCGCATAGCTCCGACCTTCTTACAGCACGTTATCACCGCTAAAGGACGGCGCGACGCTGATGGTGACGTCCATGACGAGGTCGGCGCCATTGCAGAGACGCTCGGACATGCTCATGTCCAACACCAGACCGTCTCCGCTCCGGTCAATGTCGGCCTGCGAGTGCAGGTTCCGGGTCCTGGCTGACCACGAGAGCCAGGTGTTCGGCAGCCGCGCAGTTCGAACCGGTACTAGGAAGCGTCGCGCCTCCTCGCTCGACCCGACGAGCAGTACGGCGCCGAAGAAGCTGTTCCTCGAGGCCCTATTGCTTCCTCTTCCTGAGCATAACGACGAAGTCGCGGCCCAGGCACGTCTGCAGCGCCACCCAGCAGAAAGCCTCGACGCGCCGGAAGTTCGTCGCCGTCACGACCACGTTCTCGCCTGTACGGTAATTTGCGCGGAAAAGGAGCACTTAGTTAAAGGGCGTGTCGACACAAAGTACATGTGTTTTTTTACGTGCTTGTATATTTTAAAGTAAGACAATGTATAAATACCAACTTAATCTGCATGCCCAGCCGTTTAGAAGATCCGATTTTAATCCGATCGACTTCAAGTGGGACTAGTTTTTTGTTCAGGCTTCTTTTGGCTGGGCTAGGTATAATCGAGCTGGTTTTATTAGCTGGTAGATTGCTTAGTTCACCGGTTAATCAGTTGAGTTTTGGTCGGTTGGTTGATTAATTGTCACAAGTAAGCCCGCAACTTTTCCGAGAGAAGGGTGACATACCGATGTCTCTTAAACAAGTCGGTTGCCCATTGAATGGTCTGTCTGGCAGTTAGACCAGCCGCAGACAAACGGTCAGTCGGCCAACCATTGAGTCGTTTGTTCGTTAGTCCATCTATAGGTTCGATTGACATTGCGCCCATCCGAAATCGTGTCTGTTGGTTCTGAGCGACTTGGTTCGTCCGTTCGTCGGTCTGACGGAGATGGCCAACCCCGGACACTGGCCAGTCATTAAGTTAGCCGCGACCAACTTTCTAACTATGTGCGGGTGAACGGTCTATACACTAGTCGTTTGTTAGTCGGTCGGTCCTCACGGCGTTCCTTGCTCCAATCGTCGATGGTCATATAACGCCTCCGACTGACCAGTGCGTCATCCGTCCACGGTAGGTTGGTCATCGGGCTACTGGCACGTCTTTCCACCTATCAGATATATCCACGGATCACCTAATGCTCTGTCGGTTAGTTGGTCAGATCGTGTGCAGCTTACTTTCGGTCGAGGTAGGTGAGATTGGGTTGGATAGTTCATCCGACAACACTGGCCATACACTCAGTTCATCAAGAAACGTTAAAAAAATGCATGGTGCCCAGGGTTAGTTAATAATGTCAAGCCAACAGCTATGCGTATTGAAGGACGGGACTGTACCATGCAATTTCTTTAACGGGTAGGGAACAATGAAATATGCAAAGACATCAAATCACCTAATCTTCGCCAGCTTCAGCGAGGCTCACTGTATACCTTCCAAAAATATAGTCGTATAAAAAAGTGAAGCGTGCATACATTGACACGAGAAAGTATCCCAAGAAACAAAAACCGCCAGCGTCTGTTTCTGTTCTCATGTTTTCCTGTGCTGTTTGCCTGGTGCTCCTGCCAAATTCAATCAAGTACCTCGGATTTCTGCCTTCGCTTCTATTCGCTGACATCATCAAGAAGGTATACACTATAAAGATATTCATGTCCATGTTAACAGATGGCAGCCACGCTAAATTTCCGATAACACTACGGATGTAAAAGAAGAGTCGTCTCCGAGAACGTCTTGTGAAGTAAACTTTACGCGTGTCTGTAAGTTCTGGAGTATCTCATTCACGCCATCCTGAACTAGATAGGAAAGAGAGCGAAGAGTGGCCAAACTTGCAGAATAAATCCTATCCTACTCCTACTCAGCTACATATGAGGTTTTCGTAACACTACCCAGCATGGTGTAAGAATATTTCGTCCAGCGTGGCCCATGCTCTCAAAATCGCTTCCCTTAGAGCCACTGATATAGCGCTATTGTGAAACCAACATAGGGTACGTGACGTTTGCAAAGTCACATTTATCTTATCAAAACGTCACGTGCCAGTTTTTTATTTGTTATTTAGGCACACGGGTAACTTTTCCACGCCATATCACATTCAAGCCGAATAACCGCAACTTGTTTGTAGTGGAAGGCGCCGTGGTGAAGTACGAGTACTTCCAGAAGCTGCATCCATGACGTCACGTGCAAGATACATAAACGCAAAGTATGCTTTGCAAACCGAATAGGACTCCTTAAGTCGCATAACAAGAGGGTGCCCTAAACAGCAGACCTCACAGAACCTATGCGAGAGTGATGGCGGAAAACTCTACTCAGCTACGATGTACATGACCAATCCTGTCCTATCCAGAATGTCTGGGATGCTACTGGATGACAAGGTCTTCCGTCCTCCATCTAAGGGGTCAGATCTAGACTAACAAGTAGCCAGATCTCTAAATAAAGTTGTTTCACTCACTCACTTTCTCGTACTACCTCTGCGCATCACTCTGTGTCGTCTTTGTTTTTTTATGCGAATGCATTTCTTAGTCAGACCATGTCCGACATCCGACATTGTCCACGGCAGGATCCGCGCGCTGGCATGTGTTATCTCTCCGCTCTCACTCCCTCTCTTATAGCAACAGCTGCGGGCACGCGCGCTTATCATCACCCCTAGCAACCAGACCATGTGCTGGGAGAGAGTGTAGGAGAAGGTAGGTGCAGTGCTTTTCTCATTATTCGCTTTCTCTCCTCCCTGCACCCCACTCTTCCGTCCGCTTGCGCCTCACTCTAGACAATTCGCTGGCTGGGTGCCTCTCAAGACGATGGCAGATGTCGGTGAGGGCGAATGTCTAACGGCAACGGTACAATCTCTCGACGCAAGAAATGCATTCGCATTTGCTCACAATTCCCTTCGGAAAGGTGGGGGTATTTTTCCTTACCCTGCAGCGCTTCGCAAGCACGGAGACCTATAAAGCTTGCAAAAGCTGTCCTCTCGTGAAATGCGGCGCGGTTGGTTTTCATAAATGAATAAGAGCCAGGTTATAGGTTTGGCGCTGTAATTGTGCGTACAGTCTATGCGATACTCCACCTTGTAATCTTGGAACAAAGTCGTGCGTGCCGAGAATGTGTTCCACGAGCCTCTGCAGCGGTCCTCGCCACTTGCAAGACTTCCTGCCGAGTACGCAGCAACAGGGCCTGGATTCAAGCGCGCGAAAAGCAGTCACGTAGAGAGCACGTTACCGTGCGCACAGGCATTTCAAGGCTCTGCTGTCAGCCAAATACTGAACGCTTACGCGCAAACGCAAACAAGTGGTTTCAGTGGCACAACACGTGGTAAAGCAGTGCGCATGTGCTATACGAAGTTTGTGCATTTGCGCAGTTACACAAGTGACTGCCGCGATAGGGTGCTTCTTAAAGCTCAGCCAAGTTCACTCCAGCGTCTTTGAGCTGCCTAAGAGTCGCATATTATCGATCACAGACCACTCACATGATAGGTCCGAGTTCATGCTGACTGTAGTGTGCCTCGATGAGCGCGCAAGCGTCCATCAAGGTGACCAGCTGGTGGGCTCGCATTGACCTTTCTCCACTGCATCAGTGCGTTGATCCCGCGCTTCGTTTTCCGCGACACTCGTGTGCTTTCGCAGCACCGGCCAAGGAGCTTGATCGAAACACTAGTGCGGCAGCGCTCTGCTGCTACCGTCAGGAGCGACGAGTGCATTTAAGTTCACTGCACGATCGCGCCGAGATTGCCGACGGGGCACCACGCAGCGTCTGTGCCTTGTCTTGGGGTGTGAACCACAGCCGCTCAATCTCTCCCCTTTAATCTCCCTCTTTTGTTTGCAGACGGCCGCCCCCTCCAAAAAGGGAAATAAAGCAGCCGTGTTGAAACAATATATATATATATATATATATATATATATATATATATATATATATATATATATATATATATATATATATATATATATATATATATATATATATATATATATATATATATATGTATGTATATATATATACAACACAAAGAGGTGTTCATCATACACAAAGAGGTTCATCATACACAAAGAGGTGTATATCAAGGGCGATGGGTTTCAACACAAAGAGGTGTTGAAACCCATCGCCCTTGATATATACTATGTTTATAAACAACAAAAAGCCTCGCGACCCTTATTGCGATAAGAGATAATGCACGTTATACCACACGCTCTTGCAATGCCCTGCTCGAGTGCGAGCCTCTTGGCACAGAGAAGCGCACCTGTCAGCCCTTCCATCAGAGAGCATCGTAAAGAGAATGTGGGAGAGATATAAGGCACGTTTGTGGAGTGTCGTGCATGTGCCTCACTAGCCCTGGACCATTATCGTCACGGACCGAGAGGTGATTGGTTCGACTCCCAAAGGCGCGACCTATAGCATTTTTTCTCCTCTGTAAGCTTCTGTGTTAGTGACGGAAATACGTCACTGAGATCTTGGCAGAAGCCAACGTAAACCATTTTTTGTGTTAAAATGCTAATAATCAAAGTAACGACAATGTATCCTTCAGTTTGATTTAGTAACACGACATTGCGCTAACAACATCGAAACTGCTGTGTACGGGTATGCTTCAAATATAGTCGTCTTGTAACAGTTGAGCTTACAAGTTAAATGACTAACAAATCGAAATTCACCATGTTCTCACTATTCGGAACAGATTTTAGTCGACTAGAACAATACGAATACATGCCCCACAGTCTTTCTTGGGGTACTTAGGCGCAAAGAGTTTGGTCTGTCGATCTGTCTGTCTATCTGTCTTCCTGTCTATCAGTACATTTGTCTGTCTGTTTTTTCGCCGTAATGATAGCTCAAACGATAAAAATTTAAGCGATACTCCAAACGGCCAACCCCATTCGAAGCACCCACACATATTGCTAAAGCTTCATCATTCATACTTGTGCGATTGCCAATAAATGGCAATTATGGCGCATATCTGAGGCACCATAACAACACGTCAATATTTTGTATGTGTGGCTTTATACTAGAGAAGGCACACATAAGTAATTCTAAGGACCGTAGCGTTTATCACGCTGCAATGACGATGCTCTAAAAGGCAAGTGTTTCCAACATTTTGCTAAGACGATACGGTAGTGGCACCTGCCCGTCGCTTAGCGTTCTACACCTTGTCGCCTCCGAGACAGGTGCGCATCTTTCTCCGTGCGCGCGCGCGCCTTGCTTTATTTTCGAAGATAACCGCCAGACAGCGCTCGCGTCTAAAGTGCCTCGATGCGCTCGTTCGCCTTCGGCGCTGCACGGATCTAGACACTATAACGCAGTGCTTCCACAATACAATTTACGTATTTTCCTACGCAGAACATCAAATAAATGTTTTGTTCACTCTCTCCAGACGCAAGAATATCGTCTTTCGACGACATTTGCAGTGAAACATGCAGATACGTGGCCAATATTTGTTTTAAATAAATGAAGTAATGGGCTAACAGAGTGGCACAATTCGTATTTCTCCAACTGAATTATCGGAACATGCCGTGAACGTTATTGCCGAATGGTAAAAATCACGTGCTCATCTCTGCGCTCTAAAGGCTCGACCCCACGTATCAATCGCAGTACGTAAGCGCGAAGCTTTTTGACGCGGCGGCGCGCCGGAGTGTGGGCGGATGGCTACGCGAAGCCGCACGCTCTCTCTCTCTCTCTCTCTTCGTATGGGAAAGTGCTTGACACCGCGTCAAATGGAAGTGCGCCGACGCGCTGCGACGGATATGTGGGGTCAAGCATTAAAAGATGAACTGCGATGCGACTGCTAACCCGCGCTCGCAGGAGTTTTCATGCCTCTTCTTGTCGGCGATCAGCAGAGACGTTGTGCAACCCTTGGAGCGATACTTGCAGGGAAACAACGTGGATTCGGCCAGCTTCTCCAGCGCCAAGTTTCTGTTGTTCCCTGAACGCAAAATAACAGTGCACGGGCGAGTCTAAGACACGTTGGACACGTTCTGTATCCTTATATTAATACAGCCTTAGCTACAAAAATTCAAAACCAGCTCTACCCCAAGTCAAGTCTCCACGATCTGCGGAGCATCCATTCACCTATGTTGCCCTTGGGTTCGTATTGTTTACTTCACCTTTTGAATACGGTAGATATGCCTGTCTGCGGCAAGTTTCATTTTCGTGCTTTTTACTTTCTTCAAATTAATGTCATAATTACTACAATAGTGTTAAAAGAGTACAATGAAGGTCCAATATACCTTCCCTGGCTTCATTATCTCTCCGTTTTCATTTATAACACAGTCAATATTCGACAGTTATCGCCATCGTTTAACCGAATTCAGCCAAAGTAAGTGAAAATCAGCAAGTGCAAACAAACATTAGTCGATAAAGGAGCCTTGCCGATAAACCGTTAGCTCTCACGGAACCCATCACACATTACCGATGACGATTACCGATGACATATAGTTAATAACGTCGTCACTTTGTTGTATCTACATATTTATAATTTTGTAATCTTACAATTCTTGCTACTGTCATTGCTATTTAAATATTTGTGTTTAAATTACGTAGGATATTCTATTACACTGTATACTGTGGGAACTCCCGTTGTCACACCGGTCCCGTTAATTAGGGAGGCGATCGCCGGGCTAATTCCAAGGGTCGAAGTATCGGCCCCCCGAACCGCACTACGAAAGCGTGGACAATTTAGAAGTGGTCCTTTTTGGCGCGCCAGCGGACGCTGGCTGTTGCCCAAAGAACAAGTCAGAGCCGAGAGTTGATAAACAAACAAATTTATATTCTCAATAATGGCAGACCGAAAACAATACACAAGAATGCACACTCCACAATAGTTACATACAATACGTCACCAATCAAACAACGTACTACACAGTACAATCAGCCACACTCAAAACAACGGACTCAGACAACGATACGCACTACAATGCAGTCGCATGCATTGAACAACCGAGACACTTAAGGACTAAAGAGATAGAAAACCTATTCAGTCCAAAGTCCTTGGAACAAAAGTCTGAATGATACTCTTCCGAGAATCACTCACTCGAAGTCCAGCGTTGTTGTCGTTCCGCTGCCCCCTGAAGTTTCTCTTCCAGGAAACCTCGCGCCTTCAATTGGCCACTCTTCAAGCTTCAACTTCTTCGCCGGAAACACGTCGGCTTCACACACGCAGCTGTTGCCACGCGTCTTCGCTCGATAGCGGTAAACACACGCTCTTGCCTGTAGCTCGAGCCTTCACCCCTCAGGTGGAAATCCTCTTCTTCTCCTGCTTCGTCCCTACGGACAAAACATTCGCCGACTACACGGCGGAATCCCTACGCACTCTGGCGCTACTTCCGTCTTCTCCTGATCTCTCATCTCAGCTGCTCGGTTAAATACCTTGCGCGCGACATTCCAGACTGTTCTCGTCATTTCGTCGGGGCGATACGCAGCGAAGGCTGGGAAGAGGGCGAGACGGTTGGAATGCCCTCCGCGGCCGATGACTCAACTCGGTATGACCACGCCCCTTTCGTTCTAGAACTTTCGCGGGCTATCTCGGCCGCCGATGTGGGGCGAGGAGGTTCGTCGGCGAAGCCACGCTTCCGAGGGGAGAGCGCGCGCCCCGGGAAGCCTTTAGATGTTTGTTTTTTTTTCTTTTGACCTCGCGGCGCCACTCCGGCGTTTCGTCGCAACAATTTGGCGGCGCGCCCATTTTTAGTGCTCGTTCTGTGACACCCGTGTTTCTTTATCATGCACATCGTGTTGTGAATGAGTAGAAAATTTGATTGACTGATAGATATACTGATTGCTTGATTGAAATGAATGGAGGAAACCTTCTAAAAAAATAGAGGCGTTGAGGAAGTCCTTGGTTGTATGCACCGCTGTCATTACTGCTTTCAAAGTTTTATTCAAACGAATTGGCAGTGAGTAAAGAGCAAGACGAAAATAAGGAAGGTATACATCAGCTAAATCAATCACATGGTTCTTGTCGAAGGCGAACGCCACCTTTTTTTTTTTCTTCTCAGTCGACGTTTTGATCCTCCGCCGTCACCTGCAGAAAGCTTACTGCACCAGAGATAGTTCTGCACTGCCTCCAAGATCAGAAACATTGCAAGTTTCCGCGCCTCACTCAGTTTCGCTTGGCCTGCATGATCGGCCCACCTATGCCCAAGCGACGATGTCGCGCGGTTACGTCATCACCACGTCACAAGTTTCAGCAATCTGTGGCGTTATTCTAAAAGGAATAAACTTTTTTTTTGGCGCAGAACCTTTCGAAAAAAAATCTCATAAGTCACTCGACTCTCTCCTATCTGAACTCTTTTTCCAAACTTTCTGCGCACAAAGAAAATGTATTTCTTGAAGAATACAAGACCCACCAGTCCAAGTAGCCAACCTATTGTGACGTCACTATGACGTCATACCAGGACGACATCACGTGATGAATTTTCACATAATTCTTGTGGACGCTGCCGACACCAACTTTGAATTTTCACGTTTGATGAGTTTCTCGTATTTTAAAAGACTTGTTTCAAATGACTACAGGACTTGTTTATGCATTATTATTCATTTGTGCACGGACATAATTACACAACAACGTTGCTTGTCGAGCGAGTTGGAATGTGTCGTTCATACTGACACTGAACGCAAACACAAAACAGCAGACAAGTGTCTTATCACTTGTCTGTTGTCTTGTGTTTGCCCCCGATACTGTTATGAAGGACATAACAATTGTGCTTGAAGTATGCCTCATCTCACCTTTGGGAGCACGGCACACTGGACACATGGCGACGTTTTTTCGGCATGGGGCGCACAGGTGATGGCCGTTCTCGCACTGCATGATGGGAGGCAGCGCGTAGTTCCTGCAGACGGGGCACTCGAGCAGGCTGGACATTTGCAAGACGGACGTCGTCGTCTGCGCTCGGGGCGGGTCGGAAACGCTGGTCATGGAGGCCATGACTTCCGCCGCTGGTTGGACCGCAAGAGATACTGCGTAACAGCGCACCAAGATTCATAACGAAGGCCGCTCACGCACATCAGTTCACGTGCCGTATTACAATGCCACCATGCAACACAGCGAAAGACATTTCGGAGGCGTTCCGCATCCTTGACCCAGGTGCATGGTAGGGGATTTTACACGTTGTCGTTCGAGTGTGCCATTGCGTATAATATGGGTTAAGTTTGCGTTTCGCCACGCTTCTGAAACGGATCTAAGAATCGGAATCAGTGCGAAAGAACGAGGACCTAAAAGGAATCCACACAAAACGACTGGCGCCGGACTGCCAAACTTTTTTATGGGAAATTCACCACTTATACCTCATCACTAAAATAAAAAGCGTCAACGTTAACTAAAGACATTTATCAGCAAGTTATCTACACCAGGCCAGCACGGTAGTCGTATCCAGACATATTACCAGCTCTCAAGTTGTCAAACGCCCCAACACGTATGTACTATAAACAACGTATTCAAATACGTGGCTGTATCCGAGGTGTATGCAGTACTCACGGATTGAAATCAGACTATTTATTGTCAAGTATACGCGCTTACTTCCCTTTCCACCGTCTTCATTTATTTTATTTATTTATTTACACATACTTCAGCCCTGTTCAGGGCTATCGCAAGAAATGGGACGTTATATCATACTAGGCAAAAGAGAAAAAATACAAACAAATAATACAAATTGTGAAGCAAGTACACTCGTAACAAACAAAAGTAAAAATAAAGTTAATTACGCGCCAGTAAGATATTCATCGACAGCAACTATGAAGTCGGTTAGTGGTGAAGAGCGAATGCTATCAGGCAGGGAATTCCACAGTTCAATTTCACGCGGAAAAAAACTGTATTTGAAGGTATTATTACGAGCAAAGAGAGGTGTTACATTCAAAGCGTGGGAACTGCGGGTACAACTATCATCAGTAAATGTCATGAGGTTACCATGACCAAGGCCGGAGGAGGAGTTAATAATTCCTTATAAAAATTTTAAAGCTTCGTTTCGGTATCGCGAGAGTTGTGATGGGATGTTTAACGATTGAAGGGCTGTGGTCGGCGAGAAGTTGCGGCTATAGTTAGAAAAAATGAAACGGATAGATTTTCGCTGAATGTTATCTAGCAAGCTTATTTCACAGTGTTTGTAAGGGAACCAAACTACGGATGCATATTCGAGAACAAGGCGAATGAGTGATGAAGTTGGGGTAGCATTGGTACAATTTCTACTCTAACGTATAGACCAGGGCTAACAGTATCTTTAGAGACCAGATTCGTCGCGATGTGACATAGTTATTTTGAACAATCACGCATAACATTCCTGATACTAAAAAATAAAATAGATGTCTCAACTGAATTTCAATCCATAAGTATACTGTACATTAGACCAGGCCTTCTGACGTCGCGCTTTTGATAATAATAATAATAATAATAATAATAATAATAATAATAATAATAATAATAATAATAATAATAATAATAATAATAATAATAATAATAATAATAATAATAATAATAATATAATATTAATAATATTAATAATAATATTAATAATAATAATAATAATTTGCACGGCTTTTGATTCTCAAAATAACGATAGGATTATGAAGTAAGCCATAACAGAAGGCTCCGCTAATTTCGACCATCTCAAATTGTGCACTGACATCGCACAGCACACAGGATTCTTATCATTTCGCTTTAATCGAAATGCGGCCTGCGGGTCAGCAGCCGAGTTCTTCTTCAGTGCTTTTTCTGTCAATTCCGCTCAATAGTATACCACGAAACAAAACAAAGGCTTTAGCGACGACTCTTCGAGGAGACTCCCTCTTTAAAGAGCGAAGCCCTGTGCTTCGATAAGCCCCTCAAGTTCTCAATCTTCAAACAAACTCTCCGTTAATGCGTTCGGACGAAATTTCTCTAGGTGGCTCCGTTCTTCTATAGCTCTCTACATCGGTGGTGCTACGAAGAGCACAAGGACTGAGTGCCCGGCTGAGAGCAGAGTGGCAGGGAAGCAAGAACTCCATTTAAGCCTAATGGTTCTGTTTACATTGCTATTGCTCAAACGTGCTTAAGATGCGGTTCTCCTAAGTGCTCGCCAAGACCCCAAGCACCGATATTCAGGATAAACACGGTATTGAGTGTTACTAAATACGCAGGAAAACGCCGTCCTCACCTTGACGTCGCGTCAATTTCGCACCTCTGTTCTTGTTCTTCTTCACCTATTGGCCGTGGCACCTACCCACTGAGGGGGATTGGCCAAGAATTGAGTGGTTTTATAAAATAATGTGCAGTTTTAGAATATAATGCAGGTGATATCATAGAAATATTACGGATGAACCAGGAAATTGTGGCGCTTGATCTAATGCATATTAATATATAAGTGCTGAGATAGGTCAGGTCAGGTTAGGTTAGGTTGTGCCCACATGTGGTTTTCCTTGTCTTTGTGATGAAGTCGCTTTTCTTATACGCCACGCGCCCATTAAAGAGCTGGTGATGATGATTCGCGGAAGAATGGTACAATCCAGCACGCAGGATTGGCCAAGACGCGTGATGAAGTAGAAATTGTGAAACGCCAAATAAAGAAGTAAAAAAGTAGAGCGTTGAGAAAATAGAGGGAGAAGCATGTGTGATGAAGATAATCTATGGGGAAGCAAAAATGAGGGTGATAATTTTGGTGTTCTTTATTGTAATATATAAACAAGTTCGGGTAAGCTACAAAGGCGGAACGCATTCATTATCAAAGCTTTTATTGTTAGTGTCCGCGAAGTCAGTCATAATAAAGCTGCCTAAGCCAAGGTGACTATTGTCATGATATCAAAATGAAAATGATATTCTCTACACGGTGGAACCCCTGTGGTGATTGATTTGTTCCACATCCCCTTTCAAAACCAAAAATATCTTTCATTATATTAACTGCTGGTTTCCTGGCCAGTCAACCACCCGTAGTGGGTTAGAGAAAAATCAAGGTACACGTGCCGTAGCACAAGCAAGCAAGGCACCCGCCCACAAAATATCGGGCACGCTTCTTCTTCAAAAGAAAGAAACAAGCAAGCAAGCAAGCAAGCAAGCAAGCTTCTTCTTCGGCCACCATCGCCAGCCACGCGCCCTCGCTCGAACCGCATGAACGCGACGGTGGACGGTGACAGAAGAAGAATGCTCTGGACGGCTACGTGGCTCATCTTCTTGCTGCCATGCACGGCCGAGCCACAAGAGCAGCCTTCAGCACCCACGGACGGCCACGACGACTGACCGCTACGACAGCTGCCGCCGCCGCTTCGGCCGCCAGCGCCCGTGCCGAGGCCCGACTTCTGCCAAAAGCCGTACAACCAGTCGCACATCATGTGCAAGGGCGACCCATACCAGACGTGCATCACGTACTTCACCAACGCGTCCTTCATGAACACCAGGATCCTGTGGACGCATAACCACTATCGCAGTCACGTGGCCCTGGGTCGCCTGGCCGACTACCCGTCGGCTGGCAACATGCTCGAGATGCGCTGGGACGACGAGCTCGCCAGGGTTGCCAAGGCTAAGGGCCGACGGTGCGCCAATCGGATGGGCCAGGTTCGCAACCCCACTGACCCGCTGTACGGGACCAACGACTTTCCCGACGTTGGCCTCAACATGTACACCCAATGGGGCAGTACCGAGACGACGCCCATCATCTGGCGCATCGTGGTCCGCAACTGGTTCGACCAGAACATTGCCCTGCCCTGGAAGGAGCTCGTCAAGTACGAGGATGCCCTCAACAACCAGGACTTCGTCCAACTGGTCGCGGCCGACACGTACGTCCTCGGCTGTAGCTACACACGGAACTTCATGCCGAACATGCGGCCCCAGCCCAATCTCTTTTTCTAATCTGTTTCTACGGGCCTAAGGCGCCCCTGACCGGAAAACCCGTCTACCAGCCGGCACCATTCTGCTCGCTGTGTCCGGAAGACTCGACGTGTGACGTGTCCACCGGGCTTTGCGTGCTTAGGGGCAAGAAGCCTGGTCCCGCCAGGCCTCTGCCCGATCACTCAGGTGAGCGCCCGCCCGACCCCCAGAATGGCAGTGACTCCTACTACGACGCAGCTGTCGCCGTCGCCGAGATGTCTCCACTCATTGCGGCCGCCATAGTCATCCAGAGATGGCGCCAAGGCGTCAACTAAAGTGGTTACAAAGTAGAGCTAATGTATAGGGCTCCTTATGGTTTCCACATGCACCCACTCTAGACTGAAGGACGGCACGACGAATGTTCGTCATCTGACGAGATTGTCGGACCGCAGCGAATATTGCGGGAGCGTATCATTATTTATTTTCAGCTTTCTTTACGTGTTTGCCTTCGCATGCACGCTTCTTGTACTTTTCATATTTGCTTCACGCATTTTACTCAACAGTTTGCATAGGTAAAACACAATAAATGTGTCAACGTCGAGAAATGTCGCTGTGTACACTTCCGACTCACTGGAGCTGTCTAAGCTAATGGTCATTAACGGGACACTAATTAGCAAAACCATTTTTCTCGTGTTAAAACCTTCGCTCTTTCACAGTACCAAGAACCGGTTGCTTGCGCCGATAAGACGCTTGGTGAGCTAAAGAATACGAAAACATCTGGGTCGTGATACCACTTGGTTTCCCCACCAGGTCGTCACATATTTTGACGGCACTTACGAGGACCCACGAGTTACTAATTCAAAATGACTCATCGCCCACTGAGGCGACCAGAGGCTGAACATAACAGAATTGAAAATGTTTTGTCTAGCCAATGTCACCAAAGTGCAATACACTTTGTAATATCTGACGTCATGTGCGGAGATTTCAGCGGGACATTTAAAACTTTTAACTATTTTCTCCTCTATTACTAAACGCTACATAGTGAAACTAACGAGAGCCTTTTAACTCTGCCCGCCGCGGTGGTCTGGAGGCTAAGGTGCTCGGTTGCTGAACCGCAGGTCGCGGGATCAAATCCCGGCTGCGGCGGCTGCATTTTCGCAGGAGGCCAAAATGCTGTAGGCCAGAAGTGTGTTCAGATTTGGGTGCACGTTAAAGAACCCCAGGTGGTCTAAATTTTCGGAGCCCCCCGTACGGCATCTCTCATAACCATATGGTGGTTTTGGGACAATAAACCTCACATATCAAAGCCCTTTCAGTCGAGGTGTGCACAAATGTACATGGAAACTTCAATGAGAGGTCGGGCACCCCGTGTTTCATCAAATGACTTGAAACAGTAGCAGCATTCGCGCTGCCCTCCTAAGTGGACAAGTGGAGATCACTTAACTTCATTATGTTGTATATTGCAGCAGTTTCATGTTGATTTGATTTATATGTGCAGTTCCACTTCCCAAAACCATCATATTAAGAGCCATGCTAGAAGATCGTTCGACCTTGCGTTTTAGGACCAGCGCGAATATTACTACAACTAAAAAAAACTGTGCATGCATTTCAGGCCTAAGAGTGCATTCATTTTATGCTTGTACCGAAGGTAACTGATGACAAGAAATTTAGATAACTAGTTGCACCCTCATTGGCTTTAGTTACAAAAGCTCACGAATCAAAACGCCTTCCTTCATTTTCTTACTTGCATTGGCATTGTCTTTATGCCCCGCAAATTTCACGAGTTTCTGACAACGCATCATTATTCATGACTGAAAGGGTCAGAGTTCTTGAACACACTATCTACTAATCTAAAGGAATTAAAGTTTTTCTTTGGTGTCCCTTTACAACGCGAGATGCAAAAAAAAGTCACAGCTTCGACAATGGCTGCAACAATGAATGAAATGGCAGCACATTAGGCTGTTGAAAGAAGTCAGGTTAGGAGATTTAGGAACCATGCGAAAATGTAGTGAACATGGTCGATTGGACTTGGACTGCTAGTAAGACAGTAACAATAGTACCCAAAAGGATGTTGTTGTGAATACTTGAATGCGTGACGTCCAAACTGAGTCACGCAGTCAGCTTTAGTGAAGGTGACATGAAGCTTTAGTGAAGGTGACACCAAGCCATAGTCGGCAAAGCACCGTTGTCTCGAGTCGAGAGAGTCCAGACAGAGGCCGGAGTCGACGAGACGTGTCCAGTCTATGCAGTCCCGTGTGCTGAAAGCATTCGGCGTTCCACAGGGATTTTAATTCTGCATTAGCGATTTTTCGGATGGTCATTGCAGCATCAGTCCTTGAAAATGGTATAGATTCTTCTTCACAATCTTTGTGTGCTGATCGAGCAGCTGCATCGGCATGTTCGTTGCCCAATGTGCCGCAGTGACTTAGAAGCCACTGAAACATGATTCTGTGTCCTTCATCGAAGAGGTGATGAAGCAGCTCTCTAATTTCCAGCACTAGTTGTTCATGAGGTCCCCGGCGTAAGGCCAATATCAAACACTGTAGTGCTGCCTTAGAGTCCGTGAACACGCTCCATTTCTCGGCTTTTTGGTGTTTAATGACTTGAATTGCGCTACGTAGAGCAGCAAGTTCCGCAGCTGTCGATGATGTCTGGTGGGATAACCGAAACTTCACTGTTGTCGTTGTTGCAGGAAAGATCACCGACCCTGCAGAGCTATCCACTTTAGTTGAAGCGTCAGTATATAGATGAGTATGCTCACTGTACTTCTCATATAACAAGAGAAGAGAAAGCTGCTTTCGCGCTGGAGACGAGAGCCGGGCTTTTGACCCTATACCTGGAACCGGGAGTTCAACGTGTGCATAGGTCATACTCCATGGGGGAGTTGAAATTCTTGATGGAGTTATATATCCCGTAGTAATGCGTGTGCGATATGACAAGACTGTCTGGCAAAATGAGGCACGAGGTCGGGCTTCTGGCAGTGAAGCTAGATGATGGGCAGGGGCACGAGTAAGATGCCTCACGTGAGCTCTGAGCACTTTTATCATGATATGCGTCTTGAGCGGGTAGTAATTAGCGATCTTGATTGTGTCAGCTGTTGATGAACATGGCGCTAGCCCCAGACAAACTCGTTGAGCCTTAGCCTGGATGCTTTCGAGAGTCCGAATGTTGGTTCTACAGGTGTTGGTCAACACAGGAAAACTGTAGCGCAAATCGCCAAGAAAAAGCGTCTTGTACAATTGCATCATTGCATGCACTGAAGTCTCCAGGTTTTTCCTCCAACATACTTGAATAAGTTAGCAATTTCTGTCAGCCTCTTCTTCAAGTGGGCCACATGTGCGCCTCAGCAGAGGTCCCTATTAATGAATACACCTAGAAATCTGTGCGTCCTGGCATATGGTATGACTGGGCCATCGACTGATATAGCGTATGATCTCATTGGCTTTCGACTAAAAGCAATCAATGCGCATTTCGCTGGCGAGATTTTCAGACCCTGGTCCTTGAGGTACACTGATATTAACGTCACAGCTTTCCGAAGTCTTGCGCGTACCTGAGGTCTTGTCATGCCAGGTGCCCAGATGCAGATGTCGTCAGCGTACATATATAACTTGACCACACTTGGTAGTCGTTCTACAAGACCAATGAGAACGAGGTTGAATAGGGTTGGACTCAAGACGCCTCCTTGCGGAACTCCACGATGCGTTGGGTGTTGGGAGGTTGGACCATCTGCAGTGTTCACAAATAAGGTCCGCCCTCGTAAATAACTGCGTGTCCAACAATACAGTTGTCTGCCTAGGCCCACTGACTCAATGGCTCCGAGGATGGCGTCATGTAGAACGATGTCGTATGCTCCTTTTACGTCAAGCATCATTGCAGCAGATAGTCGTTTACATGCCTTTTGATGCTGGACATATGTGAAGAGATCTATAACATTGTCGATCGAACATCAGTGATGGCGAAAACCGGCCATGACGTTCGGATATATCTCATAGTATTCCAGGTACCATTCAAGCCTGGCCAAGATCATTCTCTCCATTACCTTTCCTACGCAACTTGAAAGTGCGATCGGTCGGTAAGAGGCAATGTCCAGGAGAGATTTGCCAGGCTTAAGAATCGGTACCAAGCGGCTAATCTTCCAATCTTGCGGAACGGCGCCAGCTTGCCAGGAATCATTGAAGATATTAAGGAGTGTTTCTCGTGCCCGTTTACCAAGGTTGCACAGCATCCTGTATGAGATGTCATCCGGGCCAGTTGACGACGACTTATTACATAGGACGAGCGCCGCATTGAGCTCCTGTGATGTAAACGGTAGATCCACGCGCGGGTCCTGTGAGTGAGGGATATGATTCACTGTATGTAGGCTTGTGTATGCTGTCTGGCCCACGGTCATGGCGCAGAAATCTTCTGCTACCTCGATTTCGTGCCGGCGATGAAACAGTGCAAGGGCTTCGAAGGGAAAACGCTGCTCTGGAACAGAACGTAGGCCTCGCACAATTCTCCATATTTGAGACAGTGGTTTATGAGCATCTAGTGACGCACAAAATTTCCTCCATCGTTGGGTGTCTACTTTGTCGAGGCGCCGTTGTATCTTCTTTTGGATGCGGCGGGCTGTTCGTAGATCGTCTGTGGAATTGTTGCGTCGGTATCGTCTTTCGGCACAGCAGCGGATCGCACGAAGTCGCTCCAGCTCGAGGTCAAATTCAGAGTACTTCGAAGAGCATATTATTGTGCGCATAGCCGCATGTGCAGTTTCCTTAATAGCTTGCTGAAGACCATTGGACAGGCCTTCTTCACAAGCATCCTCAAGTTGAGTTTTGAACACACTCCAATCTATTCTTTGTGCTGTGGTAGAGGAGTACGTGTTCGAAATACCATTAATCTTCAGCTAAGTGGGGATGTGGTCGCTTTCGTGTGTGTCAATGTCCAAAAACCACTTTACCTGTGTAGCAATTCGGCGTGAAACAAAAGACAAATCAAGGCAGCTGCTATATGTAGTGCCTCGCAAAAACGTAGGACTGGCGTCATTCAGAAGGACGAGACCATGGCTGGAAACCAATGATGCTAGACGTCGTCCCGTTAAATTAAGCCTTGAGCTTCCCCAGATGGGATGATGCGCATTGAAATCCCCTGTGATAACCCACGGACCCGGATGTGCCCTTATTATGCCGTCTAGTTTGTTGGCGTCGAATTCACTTGATGGGGATATATACACACCTAGAAGTGCGAATGTCACCTTTGCTTTTTTAACAGACAAGCACACATACTAATTGCCGTCGTGAGGTTGCACTGGCTGGACGACGTAAGTAAGCTCCCGGCGAATAAATACAACAACCTTGCTACTTTCGATGTCACTTGAGGGGAAAAATTACTTGTAGCCAGATAATCTGATTGGGTGCGATAATTTTGCTTCACATATAATCATGATAGGAAATCGGTACAGATGAAAGAACTGGCGAAAATCAGATATGCGAGATCTCAGACCTCTTGCGTTCCACTGAAAAATCAACGCTTCTCTGACCTCCTGTCGGAACGACTTGTGATTGTCGGCCATGGCTTTACTGGAGGCTTGCAAGGACCGGGCTTAACGCGTCCAGCACCTGTAAGCCGCTCCTAGCAGTTCGCGTATCTATGCTTGTCAGAAGACTTCATGTGACACTCACAATGGATCGCAGCATAGGAATAATTTGACGATCTGCTGTTGGAGCCTCGTCATCAGCAGCATTGGTTTTCACTGGGAGCAGAGAGTGGGAAGGCTGCTCGGAAGGCCGTGCGTTCGCAATCACCGGTCAGTCTTCAAGGGAGAGAGGCTTCGCCGGTGGAGGTATTCCTGTACTCTCTGGCTTTCTAGTGGATGTTGATGGTGGTGTAGACCGAAGTGGTGCATGAATATCACCATGACTGCAGCGTTTCCGTCGGTGGCGACGTCAACGCCGGATTTTTTGTGAAGCTTCTCTACGAGTTGAGTTATCCCTGACCATTTCTTTCAGGATACCCATTTCTTTCTTGAGTCTTGGGTATTCTTTAGACGTGGCTTCATGCTTACCTCGACAATTGCCACACCTATAAGTTGTTGTACAACAGGTGTCTACCGTGAGCGCCTCCATGCACCGTGGGCATACGGTAGAGTTCGCACAGACGCCCTTGACATGGCCGATCTTGAAACACTTGTGGCACTGAAGCGGCTTTCGGACAAACTGCCGTACCACATGCCGGAAATGTCCCACCTTGACGTGCGTAGGGATTGAGTCGCCCTTAAAGACAATCTTAACGCAGCGGCTGTTCCCGAGGTGGCTTATATGCTTAACAACCACTCCTTCGCACGCCGGTTTTATCAGAATGGGTAGATTCGTGTTTGGGATTGCCAAGTCAATGTCGTAAATGACACCTGCAGTGCAGGTCCCAGTCATCAGTACGACCGCTCGTACTTTGAAATCTCAAACTCTGTCATCATTCGAAGCTTCTCCAGCGTGTCTGGATGTGTTGAGGCAACAGCTAAAACGTTCTTCCGTGTGTTTAGCCGGACCTCTTTAATTTCATTCTGTGCTATTCCCTCAAGAACAGTGGAAATAGCTTGCCTGTTCAATTTGCGAAGGCTGGCGGAAGGATCCACGGGCATGAAGAGAATGGTATGCGGCCAGCGTTCACTCCTTGCTTTCACGGTTGACGTGCTTGCTGGTAATGACGTCTTGATGAGCCTCCTTTTGGCCTTGCGGCTCCTCACACACACGAAGCTGCCATCTGATGAGTCGTCGCCGTCGATTGAGTAGATGTCTGTGTCTTCACTGGAGCTGCACCAAGAGCCTCGTTTCCTTGCGGAGCTTACAAATGTTGAGCTGTAGCCAGACGGGCCAGCAGTTGGTTCTTCGTCCATGGGCACGAGAGCACGAGCATCTCTTGAGCCATCGCTGGTGATGGACCATGACCCTTGAGCCACATAAGAGCTTGAGGGCGCCGACATTTGACTACGTGGGCCTGTAGAAGTCGCCGCTGCCATCGCCGCAAGGCGGGATGCAGAGAGCGTCAAAGAAATTGTGGAAAACGCACAGTGGCAGTCTTGTGCAGTATACGGCATTAAGAGTCTATAGCCGCTCGTGTAAATATGTATGTTGTCCTTAGGAAATTAAGCAATGCCTTCGTCGCTCGAATTCTCGATGACTTTTGAGGATGGCGCTGTTCGTATTTGTCTAGAGAAGGTTTGATTCTCGGCAGTGTTTTATACCAAGAAGCCTGACCCCCCTACGGTATAGCAAGCAGGTTCGGCAGTCTCACCATCAAAACAGATTTAAAAACGTGCACATCTTCACTGAGATTATTACGGATTACCGATTCATTCCTAAATCGGGAAAATGCTTAATGAGCCTTGGTCTGGGGTATATAGGCCTCACAATTTCTTTGTGCAAGATCAACTAGAACTTGTAAATGTTAACATATGTGGCATCACTCTAAATGACAACTCGGTTTACAGATTTCCTTCTAGCTGCAAGCTTCCACCTCCTACATACCTAATACTCTTGTTAGGAGATCATCTATTTAAACTGGGAATTGGTAATTAAATGTCAGTTATGCAATTAAGCGTGACGAAAAAGCAGGCGTAGGCATTCTCTAAAATCCTTAAATCTTGGTCATTTTCAGTGCGTCTCCCTGGTTATACCCCAATATTTCAAATAGAGCTCCTTGCAATTATTTTAGCCCTTCGAAATTTTCAAGTAAGTCGCAGTTACCAATTCGCTCTCTATATGTATATTTCCAGCTTCATCGAGCGTTTTCAAGTCTCGAATTTAGAATGCATTTACTTCTTTCATTCCCAAAATCTAGCATACACTGCAGTTGGTTTGGTTGCTGGTCATCTCGGAATTTTTTTTTAATGAAAAGGCTGATGCATTCGCGTGGTGGTTCAAAGGGGGTTAAAAATTTTTTAAATGCTGGAGTAAAAGCTTCCGCAATGCTTTGCCAGCAATGGTGAAGCCAGCTTTTGCCCTCGAATGATCTCAGCAACATTTTCTGGTGGTGCACATTTAAACATCAAGTGGCTTTGACATGTCCCTCTAAAGCCTGCGTTAATCATAAATTAAAAGGTTGTTTCTGATGTAATAACCCACAGAGACGAATACGAGTGTTTTAATCTCCAATAAAATTTGTCTCAAACTAGGGGCTTACTAAAGAAAACTAGCTATAAAAGGACGCATTTGAGCACTGTCTCACCAAAAAAGGTTGCCACGTTAAACTTGCCGAGCGCGCGAGGACAATGCTCCGTCACAATTGCCGAACCCCCAACAGCTCATCATTCCCCTAGTAAGATGGCTGCCGCAGCCGCTATCTTACGCTGGATACGGCCTCACTCGTGGGCGATAATTCTCACTCCAGCATTTTCTAAACATCCTCGGGTGGTCCTAGTTGGTCAGGTGCTGTCCATTCTCCCTCAATCTGATTTTATTAGGAAATACAACTTTCGCCAATACATATCACTTCAAAATTACATAAACATTAGAGATCACCAGTTCTAGAATATATTCCCCTTTCTTTTTATTGGAATAATAGATGGTGCCCCACTCGTGAATCGGAGGTGCCTTTCCCGAAACTTTAATGCTGGATTCCTCCTCTTCATTTTCACTAACGCAGGTCTGGTCAGGTGTCGTCTCCTTAATGCTTTTACTCTCGAGAGCCCCAAAAAATTGATTACTTTTTTTACTTTTGCGATCGTTTCACTATTGCTTTAGAAAAAAAGCATCTCCAAGATTTTTCCTGAAAACTAAGAATTACTCCCTATTCTGAAAGTATACGTTTTCTTGGAGCTTCTTGTCTGGACCACACCAAAAAGAACGTTTTCATTGCCACCCAGGAATTTCGTGGACACACAACAAGAATTAATTATTAGGCTATTCTCATTCCAAAATTTCTGCGAACTTCTGACTGGTTTATCGTATCGCATATAAGAATTACGTACTTACATATTACCTAGACAATCAATTAAGTATTTTTGCGTCATCTAAACTTAATTCCTTTATAGCGTTAAAAGTGGTCAATCTCCCGTTGATAATACGAGCCACTTGTAAAGGGTCAAGCAAGCAAGCAAGTAGCATAACATTTCACAACACCACGAAATCCTTGGCACTACCCCACAGTGGGTGTCAGGCACAGTATAAAGCGAACACGAGAAAGTGCGTGATCGCTGCGTGAGCTCCCGCCTGCTCGAGCTTCGTTAGCCACAGTATAGGCACCGGCGAACGTCGACCCGAAGAATGCTCTGGCGTAGAGCGTGGCTTCTGCTGTCGCTCCTCTTCCCGGCCCAGCCGCAGGAACAGCCGTCGTCATCAGTTCATCCTTAAGGCCCCGACCTAAGACTCTGGCAGCTTGCGGATACAACGACGTCGCCCCTGCCGCCGAACAATCCGAGACCCGCGGACTTCTGCCAGAAGCCGCCGTACAACAACTCGCACGTCATGTGCATGACGCAGCCTTTCACCGATTGCATCCCGTACTTCGTCAACTCGACCTTACTGAGCGAAAGCGTCCTGTGGATGCACAACCACTACAGGTCCCACCTGGCCCTGGGTCGACTCGCCGACTTTCCCGCGGCCGGCAACATGCTCCAACTGCGCTGGGACGACGAATTGGCCAGGGTCGCCAAGGCCAAGGCCCGGCTGTGCGCCGACGAACTCGGCAGCCTGAACGTCAACGTGGGAGGCATCTGCACAGTCGACTTCCCCGACGTGGGCATCAGCATGCACCCGCAGAAAATGGACGACGAGACGGCGCCCGTCATATTGCGCTTTGTGGTGCGCGACTGGTTCGACCAGAACATCTTCTTTCCCAAGGAACATGTTGCAAAATTCGTCGAGACGTCCGGTACCGAGCAGTTCGTCCAGCTGGCCGCCGCCGACACGTACGCCGTCGGATGCAGCTACACGCGCAACATCATGCCCAAGACGGCCCTTCCACAGAAGTACTTCCACATCTACGTCTATCTCTACGGGCCCAGGGCGCCCCTGGGGGGAAAGCCGCTGTACTACGCGGCGCCATACTGCTCGCTCTCTCCGCAGGACACGATATGAGACGTGCCCTCTGGACTCTGCGTACTAAGGAGCTGGAAACCTGGCCCCCCAGGCACCCGCCACCACCAGAGCCCAAGAAGAATGACGGGAACAGCACTCGGACGCAGGCGGCCTCCGAGCATGTCACCGTCGTCGTCTCCGTGGTGTCCCCGATTGCCATGGCCCTGCTGGCCCTCTACGGCTGGCGCCAAGGTGACGACTGAGAGGCAGCATTACAGACTGCTGCCACGTTGGGCACCCATTGGGCCACCACAACGGTTTTCGGGCGGCAGGAACTTTTTTTAATTTTTTAACATTTTTGACGCGCGTGTATTGTACACATATTTTTTTTGTATTTCACGTACCTTCGTTTCACATATTTTATATCGTATCTCGAACTACAGTAAATTGCCATGAATTTTTGCCAGTGAACCCGAGGCTATTGTATTTAACTTCATTGTACCATCTTCCATTTATTATAGCAGTGTCACTTGGGCGTTTATTTCTTAATCTTGACCTATCCTGATTGCGCTCGATTCATATTAGGTTTAGGAAAATACTCAAGGGCGAGTTCAAATACCCGATGTCTTCGCTATTTTAGGGTTAAATAGGAACTTATACTTGACTTATACCTAACATCTACCCACTTCGTCTGTACATTGCTATGCTATGAAGTTTTAATGATTGACTTGTTATTAGCGCATGTAGCTTGGTAAGTCATGTTATTATGAACAAACTTTATTCAACGGCCATGATGTAATGGGCCGTGGCGGCGTCTAAGAGTTCGCAATTTCACTAATATTCAGCAGATTTGGGCTTCTTTTTTCGCCGACTCGCTCGTAGAATTTTTCATTCGCTTGGTGCGTTTTTCTTTATTTGGGGGGGGGGGGGGGGTATCTGCATTTTTCCACCAAATTTAGTAGCTTTTATGACCATCGGTTTCGCCAACGTACGATTTTCGATCCCTAATGGCATGTTTGTTGATGACTAAGTAGTTAATCGAGTGTATAGCACACGTGGAGGTTTCTCCTTTAAAGAGAGTGAAGATTCATAGCACCCCCCCCCCCCGTCCTACTGAGTGAATGCATCGGGCAGATTTTGGCCCCCTCCCATAACCCCCCTCCCCCATTCGTGCACAAACTCATGTTTGAGTGTTGAAGTTAAACATCCGCTATTCTTGCGCTGCCAAACGTGTCTTCAGCCGAATGGAAACTGCCTCGGAGTCAATATTAAAATGTAGCTGTGCGCTGTAGTTCATTGTCAGCCATTTTCGCCGTACGACACAATCAGGTGTTTTTTCAAGCTCTTCTTTGTACCTGAGAGCCATTTTTTATTCACAATTACAAATATTTTCAAGAATGGCAAAATTATGTTCCTACTCTTTTTGGGCTTGTTTTGTGACAAGTATTAGCTTGTTTAGCTCGGTGGCAGCTGCGGGCGTCTCGTAATGAGTATTAAGTCGCGCTTTGTGTTTTGGTCGGAGCAGAAGAGCGGTCTTCCCCAGATTGACCAGGCAATCCGAGTCCCGGTCGTGATTTCGCGAGCGTATCAGTGTTCGCACTTTTTATAAACCGCCGAAATAAAGACGCAACACTACTGCACACTACAATATAGCTTACCGAGTGATGTTAAATTTCTCGATGTTCATTGTACCATTCCCAGCGGATTGCCGACCAGTACAAAAGGTGAGAATTTACACGCCACCCTTTTTTCGACAATACACGTTATTTTCATTGAACTACAATCGCACAGAGAACTATAGAAGTGGAGTAATAAATGCGCGTTCAGCGCACGCAGGGTTCTTATGACGTTCTCCGTGAGAAGGGAATGCTTAAAATCCACGCCCAAATGCACTCGCGTGAGCAGCATTGTTCCGTGCCACCTGCCCAGCCCTGTGCCGCTACATGTGTTTGATCATGCGTTATGGCTGCTGGGTCAGGTGCGGTAGAATTCTATAGCCCCACCGGCCAACAACGCAATTCTGTGCATAGTTTTTCGTCGCGACGCGTCCTCCTGCAGGATTCAGGAGCACCCAGGGCTGCTGACAAGAGGTCTGGAGTCTCCGTCCTCCTTGTTCTCCTTCTCTCAGCTCCTGCAAGCATAGCCTTGTGTCATAACCGAAGTGACCCATGGTTGTGGATTACACAACGCGAGTGCGAATTGCATTTCGCTTCTTTCTCTATCAACATACTGCAAGGGCACAAGTTGCAGTTTAATTTGGGTAGCAGGCCCCGCCGCGGTGGTCTAGTGGCTAAGGTACTCGGCTGCTGACCCGCAGGGCGCGGGTTCGAATCCCGGCTGCGGCGGCTGCATTTCCGATGGAGGCGGAAATGTTGTAGGCCCGTGTGCTCAGATTTGGGTGCACGTTAAAGAACCCCAGGTGGTCTAAATTTCCGGAGCCCTCCACTACGGCGTCTCTCATAATCATATAGTGGTTTTGGGACGTTAAACCCCACATATCAATCAATCAATTTGGGTAGCAGAAAAGTACATCTGTTTGCGTCCCTCTGGATTCGTACACTCAGTCGATACAGAATGCTCCCCATCAGTTGTTACCTCCATTTTTAAAAAGTTTGTCCATCATTAAAGTTCAATTTGTCACTTTTCTAGATGTGTTTCTGCATGGCCTTCTAATGACGCGTCAGTCACGAACACAAATAACTGGATCTTGGATGGCGTGATGTTAATGGTTTTGCTAGCACTTCATATAAAACGTGTGCAGTTTTGCGTTACGGCGGGCTATGTTGAGTGGCCAATGCAGCCTCGCAGGAGAATTAAACCGTCGGGAAGTGGTCCGAAAGAAAGACTTCAACCAACGACGCAGTAAGAACGAAATGAAAACATCTGCTATCCCGTATTTTTGTATATCTGGAATATACAACACTAATAACTGAGCGAGGACATTCATGTTCAAGGAAGACAAGAAATAAATAAGGAAAGCCTCATATACACAAGAAACATACGGAATATATCGAACGAAAGATTAAGACCACCGAGCCAGCATTGGTTTCTTCTATACGTGTGCTTTTTCGTTGAGTTTTTGTTGAAGTTAGTTCCATTTAGTTGTATCTGCTGTACGAAAAATGACCATTTCGTCTAAATGTGCTGTTTCACATTTAGGTGTGCTCTTTCACATCTAGGTATAGTCGTGACTCTTTGCAATGGCGTCGTGCCACCCATTAGCATTGTCCTTCTCCATACGCACGAAAGCAGTGCCAGTTGATGCAGAACTTGTGTTGTATTCCTTGCCTTCAGGGTAGCCACCTTTACGTTTGTGCTATTCTAGTGACGTCTCGTAGACAAGCCCAAGTTGCCTTGACATGCATAATTTATTATGTACCTACTGAGTGGACAAGGAAAGGCGCGCAAAAGATGCGACGATAATTGTAGCGCTGAAATGAGAGGGCGAGAGCGAAAGAAAATTTAATGCCCCAGATAATGCAGATAGTTTTTAGTGTATAGTCTTGACAAAGGCGGAGTGAGTGCTCAGTAGAGTGCATCTGACTTCACTGTGCTATCAGAGCTTCTCTTACAATGAATAGGTAACAACACCACTATATTATAGAGGGAGTATCGGAGTGCAAATATTTTGTTATCTCGATGTTTTTCCCTCAGCAGACTACATCAAAATTTCAAGAGAGAAGCTCCTCTTAGTCTAACATTGACCCGCGTCAGGCTTGACGGGCAGTATCACCCGAACATTACGATAGATGGCGCTGTCTCATAGAACTTCGCATCTAGTTTGCGATCACGAAGTATTACGGCTAGGCAGCGTTAGCCACCAGCCGATCTAAAGAGTAGAGCCATATCAATCAATCAATCAATCATCAATCAATCAATCAATCAATCAATCAATCAATCAATCAATCAATCAATCAATCAATCCCCATCCATGCATGCATCCATACATCCATTTATCCGTCCGTCCGTCCGTCCGTCCGTCCGTCCGTCCGTCCGTCCATCCATCCATCCATCCATCCATCCATCCATCCATGCATCCATCCATCCATCCATCCATCCATCCATCATCCATCCATCCATCCATCCATCCATCCATCCAGTGATAGAATGAATTTTGAAAGGTAACGTTTCGTGGCTTCGCCTGCTCAAGTTTCGAGCGTTGAATACTAATATTATCAGTTTTACTGCAGAAACTTACATATATTTTCTTGCTTTCATCTCGGCATTAATTACTACACGCATCGCACTGCTAAATTACGTAGCCTTAAACTTGCAGCAGGGCCCCATTGACCAATGTATGCATGTGGAGACCATGTTTATTTACATACGATCTGGCATCTGAACTTTATTGGCTTTATTCGCTGCGAGTAGTTTGTAGGCGACCTCCCACTAAAAGTGCAATTCTGAAACCTTTGAGCGTGACGTGAGGAGGTGCGGTTCGTACAGTATTTGTGTCTGCAAGGCTCTGCACTCTCCCTCATTTTATATTTTTACTTTTCATTTCCAATTAGCCTAAGCAACACCCTACTTCTTTGCCTCTGTGATATCCGACATCTTACTTCATTTAAAATATGAATCAGCCCCCCCCTCCCCCCCGTTATCCAGCATCGTAACTTCAACAAACCTTCTAAGGACTGCTATATAGATGATTTGCTTCCGCAGCGCAAAGGCTGTTGGATAGTGCGAGTGTGCAACACCACTGCAAAATGACTTGCAAAAATACTTGTCTCACCTTCCATTCAGGAAGGCGAAGCAGCTGGTGTAGGCACTGGGAGCGCTCTGGAACAGATCTTGGAACTGGGTGGGTGCTCGCGCGCGCATCACCATGCTGGTCGACCCACTGGAATGTCTCCAGTGGCATGTCGAGCACAGTGTTGAAGAGCTGTTGGGTCCAGTTGAGCCCGTAACGGCAGCAGCTGAAGTACGGGTCTGGTTTTACTTGGGCCTGAAGTCTAAGGCCACGGTGCACTTGTGGTAGAGGGCTGCGTGAATACAATAAATAATCTTTCCTCAAGGACTTTGTGGGTTTTCTTTATGTTTTAACAGAATTCACCGATGGA